TGTGTAGAAAACTTCATCGCGATTGGGCTCTCCTTTCAAAAGTTATCGTGTTAACGGCCGGACGGCCGGACACACTGACCGATTCTAGAGTGTACTCACTTTTTGAGTACACAAAAATGTTTCAAGTCAAAATTCAAAACCCAGTTTTTCTAATGTTCTTGAGGAGGATCACGGCTTTTTCCTTAAATATACAGTAAAAATGTAATATCAGATGTTGCTCAAAGTTTTTCATCGATAATTAATTGAATCTGTATTTGTTATTTCCTCCATTAACATGACAAAATGTTCTCATCTAAAATGCTTAAAATTGTAGGTTAGTGTTTATACGATAACAGCATTAAGTATTGAACGTTATATGGATGTTCGTGAAACAGCTCATCGTTATAATGATCAAGTAAAATTAGCATTAGTATTATCGTATATAAGTGTTTTATGGATATTTGTAATATTATTTCCATTGCCAATGTCGTCATCATTATTTGTTCATAATCGAACCCGAGCTGCATTAGCATCTTGTGTAAGTGAATGTCGATCAAGTTGGACATCTGGTGAGCTATCTCGTTATGTTCAATTAAAATTTGCTTGTGCATTTTTACTTCCATCATTAATCACATATACATTTTCATTTCGTTTAATTTTATTTCTTCATCGTTGGTCAATGAGATTTCGACGTTTATCATTATCACATCGTTCATTAAATGTTTATAAAAGACGTGCAACAAGACTTGTTTTATTAATAATAATATCATTTTTTGTTCTTTGGTCTTCATTGTGGATTCTTCAACTTGATGATACATTAAATGATCGAGGTCCAATACCTTATATTCAAATATTAAATTTTGTCACACTTGTTTTTGTTTATGCGAATGGTTTATTAAATCCATTACTTTATTTAATTTTAACACAAAATTTTCGTGATTATATTCGAATAAATAAATGGTCACCATGGTGATATAAAAAACGATCAACAAATAATCAGAATACAATCATTTATACAACAACACCAATTATTAATGGAAATGGAAATCAAATTCGAGATCACCCAACAAGTTGTATTATACATAATCAAGATTTTATACAAACTGATGGAAGTTCAGCAGTGATTTAAAGTCTTTTTTTTCTCGATTTATGTATAAACTTTAAAATATTTTTCTGTATTTCAACAGTAAATAAACAAGTCTCGGTGGAGTCTCTTTTTAAATAATTCTTTCTTTTTTCATTTTAAATAAATATAAAAATCAATTAACTATATCGGAAATTGATTACAGTAACTTGATATTCAACCGCAATTCTTTGACAAAGTCTTATTAGACAAGTGAAGGGTGTGGCTATTATGTTTTCATACTAGTACAAAATGCTTTACTCGGTTTCTGTTTATTAATTGATACTTTAGATTTTCAAAGATATTCTATAATAAAGAAAGACAAGATAAATAATTTATGGATAAGTTATAATACGAAAAACTAATAACTTGGTCTTGAATTATTTTTTAACAAACTCAAAATTCGTTCAGAGAAAACAAACCATAGATACGCTATCATGGCTCTCGAGTATTTTCACAAGTTAGAAAAAAAAACTGAACATCAGAAAGGGATAAGAAATATGTTCAAATTCTAGAAGCTGTCCTGACTTTTTATTAGGTCTGGCAATCCTGACTCGAACAGTTTTAGGGTATCCTTAGTTTCACTAAATTCTATTTATAGCCAACAGATGATATCGATTAAGTTTATTTTGTAGAGTTGCTTTTTTTTAGTAGCTTTTAGAATATAGTTTTAAGGAATTTCTCTATACTTGTTGATATTCGCTAAATGGAAGAAACATCTAACAAAACGATTATCTTCAAATGTTAATTTAATAACAACGAAGATAAATACTATGTTATCTAAGCCAATGCAACTAGATAACGAGAGATATGCAAAGAATAATTTTCAATTTCTTTCGGATATCGAGAAATATAGATAAAAAAAATAATCTTTGTGATGAACAAAACGACAAAAGCGGATTTACCTAGTTAATTTGATATGAATCAATTTTTTAAAAATTATACTTGATTTTCTCCTTCACGAAATTCATTTTGGTTGTTTTCACGAAAAAAATAATAATAATGGAAGTCATTTACAACTTGATTTTCCTAAAACGAGCGTAGCTTTGGTATGATCTCTGCGTCTATTGAATGAGATAACTAGTATATTCAAAACATTGTTTTCAGTATTTAAGACATCAGAAAAGAAAATATGTTAGATGAAGAGTGAATGTTTACTTTAAGAATTTGATGATGTACAAAAAAAAAGAAAGAAAAGTACAAAAAAATATATTCATTCCGTCTCTGTCCGATGCGTACGCACATAATTGTTATTCATCATTATATCCACTGGGTCTCTGCAATGAAAAAAAAGGAATGTTTCGGGTTGGAATATGATACTGAAGAGAATAAGAAAACTTACAAGATTCAAAGTTTTGATAAAACTAATAAACCATTTCACTTTTCCTGTTATGTTGCCATCTTGTTGTAATTTCGAATTTTCAAATTGTTGCTTGAAATTATCGAAAAATACTGGTGTCGTTCTTATTGTCATAATCAACTGGTAAGCTTGCTCTAAATTCCACTTCAACATAGCTTGTATTTGAAAGACGAATTTGTGTATCTCTATTATAAAAATAATACAGATATGCGATGATTTTTCCAGATATATACAGAGGTGAAGGAGAAGAATTTTAGAAGATAAATGAGTACATTTACACTAGCTATGGCCATCTAAAGGTCAACGGACACGTTTTCCAGGTAACAGAGAACAGATATAAAACCTCTTTCCTACAGTTTCTTGGCAACTAAAAGATGCAGAACGACAGTAAAAACTATGCTTAAACTCCTGTGCAGCCTTTTAGAACATTTTAAAGATTTCATCAATTATCAATATAGGTGTTTCTGTATTTATTAGGGTACAGGACGAAATGTTGGAATTTATTAATTTATCACAAATGAATGTATAAACCAAGCAAGATGGAATAAAAGCAGAAGATATTTAGCTATTTAATAGGAGGAAAACGATATAATTTAGAATACCAGTAAAAAATCTCTATCCCAAATATAAAAACAAAAAATATTGTTTCACTGATATTCGACTGTTTTTTGGGAACAAGTATCATTTCTCAAATAACCTTGAAATATATAATTTAACAATAAAACTAGATTCAGAAAAGAGGTTCACTAGAAACCACGAGATAGTATTTTACCTTCAGCTTTGATATCCATATTTTTCCGGAAGAAATGATGGATCCGTTGTGTTGTAACATATATATGTGTTGTTTCATGTATTATGAAATCATTATCGAAGACTTTGTCAGCAAATGTTGTATCATCCACGATATCTTCTTGTTTGAATGACCAATCTGTATCCCCATCTTCATTCGTGGTTGGTTTCTGAGATTAAGAATAGCATTAGATAGTGAAACATAAAGTAAACATCATACTTGTCTATACTTAAATTTAAGGTCATCATTTGTGTTGTTTGCACGATCAGTACATGCACGACGATCAAAATTGTTCTTTCTTTTTGCACGTTTTAATTCGGATGCACTTGGTTCACTGTCACCTTGTGTACTACTACTGTTACCTTTTCATGAATAAACAAAAATAAATAAAAATAATTGACTTAATATTCTGTCTAAATATGAATTTTGAATTTAAAGACACCCACGAAATTTCACTTATTTCCTTTGTAGATTGTATTTCTACCTGGATTATTTCGATTTGTCTTATCCTTGTTCATATGTGTTTTACATGCTTCACGGAATAACTTGATTTCGTTTAATAAGTTTGGTTTAACAGTATGTACTCCTGTATGATGCATATACCAATATGATTTATCGTCTGTACTAAGATCGTAGTACAAAGATAATAATTGTTCCTCTAAACTATTACATTGAAGAAAACCAGCAAATGTTTTTATTCCTAATGTTAAAATTATAACATCTGCCACAGTTGTTGGAAGATGTAATTTGACAAATGTTTCGAACGCAGAACTGTCGATTGCTAGAATAGCTTTCGGCTTTTTACTCATTGAGATTGTATCTATAAAAGAGAATATGTAGTACGGTAGTTGTCTGATGATATAAAGCATAGGGAGAAATACCAATAAAAGTCGAATGCACCATCTATGATGGTTCGAGTAATTCATCAGAAAAAAAACATGACAGAAACTATTTAAAAAAAATTCTCTTCGAAACTGTGTATTAATTTTTCGATTAAATCGAGTCCGCACTCGATAGATGACTGTAGAGGCACTAATTGTTATAGAAATGAATCGTCCAATGGCGTCGCTTTATGTCATACATGACAATTTCTTCTCATTATCTCTTTTAGTATCTATACTTTTACAGCATTATAATTTTTATAAAATAGATTAATCGAGTCGCATATAACCAAGTTTCATATGCTAAAATATTGTTCGATTATAGAACAAAATAATTCATTATTTTTATTTTCAGTTATTGCTGTTTTATTATTGTAAATAAAGAAAAATATACGACTGGTAAAAAAAACCTACTATATTCTGATAAGAAAGAGAATTACTGGAAAACACAGATGAACAAGGATAAGACAAATCGAAATAATCCAGGTAGAAATACAATCTACAAAGGAA